CGCTTGGGCAGAGTCTTATTTGGGGCCTCAAAATTACTTTTCACGTGAAAGCCCCATAGGTCCAAACAAATCTGCCTGCACGCTGCCTTTAATGTGTATTTACTAGTTATGAAACAGCCAACTGAAAAAAAAAACTTTGGGTTTCCCAGTCTAGTTCGTTATTCAGCTCCTGAGAAGACATGGCCCAATCATTGCTGGCATGTATCCAAGGCTTGAGCGTTGGTATAGGTGGCTTCGCAAAAGCCAAGCAGGCAAGGAGAAAGGCACGTTCAGGTAATTGGCATGTTTGGTGTTTTTTCTAAACAGCTTGATATGAGGATTTTTCTAAAGTGCGTTCAAATTTTTCCCTGTATTGATGTAAAATTCTTGTTTAAAAGTTCGATTTATTGTCAGGACTTGTTTTTCTAAACCTTTTTGAACACGTCAAGTTTTGGACGTTTCCTTTGTACTTTTGACTTTGTTGAGTGAGATAAGATTTGCAATTTTGTGTCCTAAGTAGATTTACCAGTGCTGTTCAGATGGCGGGGACGAAATGCCACCACGGTCAAAGAGCTCAACCCAAAGACTATGGCTTCGGGACTTGACGATTATCCTAGAGCAAGCCATCCTTCGAAGGAGGTTGGTCTTTATTGTTGCCGCGACTAGTCAGTGGGTACTTACACAAAAAGCACAGTACTTGACTTCGGCGATTTTTTTTGGTTTATAATGTTCTGGTCGCATTGCTAATCGTTCCACGAAACACTCTTGGAATATTGTTTTGGTGTTCTAGGAATACCATCTTGATCTTCGTTGTTGGATGGCTCTTGGCAGCCGTGTAATGAATCGCCTAGCTCACCTTTATGAAGAAGGCAAGAATAAGAACAAATATACTGCGGAAGCTTCACTTCTAGCGGATTTTGAAGATCTCTTGCGTCTTCACTGGAGTAGCGATAAAAATGTAGTTACTGAATGTGCTATGAATACTGACGTAGTTTTAATGTTCATTTGTAGGCTTTCTTCGACTTTGGACGTCACAGTGACAAAGTCAGACTTATAAGAAAACCTATCAAAATCAAAGGACAACCGGACCAATACATAGTTGAAAGGTTAGGATGATCAAGGACGTATTTTCATTGTTTTTTCCTAGAAAATCCAAACTGTGCTTGCAGATCTGTAGTAAACAAACCACGTTTGGGCTTTGTAGATGATGTTTTTGGTTACAACAGCCTCTATCCGCTTATGC